TTACACAGAATTGCATCATCATTTCTTGTCACGTTCAACCATATGTGCAACATAACAATTCACATGTTAAAAAACTTAGATATATTGTTGTCTGTATCGAGAAACCTCTGAAATTTACGCCTCACCTCAATCACATTATCAGCGCTAATAAGCAGAAATGTTGAAATAAGTTGTAGGATTGGGTACTCCATTCATAAAAACAACGCATATGCCATATAGCACTTAAATTCTTCCATACTTCAATTATAGCTGCTTGATTCGCGGCCTCAACTGTGTTTTTTTCAGCAAGGAAGATTAGTAGATTTGCCAAAAAGGTTGGAGTTTGATAAAAAAAAAAATGTGCACCGTCCACAAAGCTTGGAGCCAATCTTCCAGCAGTACACAGTTGTGAAGTAAACAGATATTGCTACATCCGAAATATTCCGTTATAGCTAGACAGCTTTCTTCCCCATTTGATCCAGGTCATATGATCAACGAGCCCAAAAGCCTGTAGCCCGACGTAAGGATGCCGATGTAAAGATACAAAATTATAGAGTGTCGCCAGCAATCATTTCGCTAGTACGTAATAATGTAACCAACATCTCTGAAACATTTCAACTCACTACTTAAAAATCCTGGCCTGCATGTTTATGACTGAGCCTCCTCCGTCCTTCATACTTATCGCTGACGTCATATATGGATGTCCCCAATAATAACACCTGCTTCGGGAGTACTCTTGGCAATGACACCCCGCTTAGCTGAGTGAGCTCCTTAGAGATTCAGCTCAAGGCCCAGCATAAAATTGACCAGGTGATTGCCGCTCTGACTTGTTTGGCTGATAGCCCTTGCAAGCACTAAATGAGTGCTGGAAGTATTGTGGGACATTTAAGTGGGCTGTCGCTAGTTAGCTTGGGCTATGACTACCTTAAGCCTCCTGTTGCTTTAGCTTCAATGCTTGTTGGATGCAAATGCTCCTGCCGGGTCTGCACCACTTTTTCATTTCCTTATTTACGTTTGACTCAACTTCTTAGTGGGAATGCCGCGACTGGATGTTACGTTTTCTGGGGCTTTAACGTACGCCTTACTGCGTCGCTGGGATAGAGGAAGGGTCATCCCCGATTACCTGGTTCTTGGGTAGCGGCTTAGCGAGAAAGAAAAGCTGCAGGAGGCGACCAATTATGCACATACATCGCCAGCCAACGTCAGTTGTGAGTTGGAGAAGATGTTTATCGGGACGAAGGCTAAGCTCGCTCTCAGCGACCCGGACGTGGACCTCAGTTGCCACTGCGAATCGTATTGCTCATATAATCACTGCGAATCAACAGTACCGTGCAGAGAGTGCCTGGTGACTAAATGTGTTGAATATAATAACAAAACACTGCAGTTCATTACACTGCAGGCAGTCAGTCCAGTATCCAGGATTTACCTGCAGGACCGCTCTAGGAACCTGTCCTTTTCACTCACACCGCATCATTCGGTCTCACTTCATGCGGCGGCTCCGCTGTTGTCTTACTTTTTCGTCGGTTTCCGCTGCCCCACCTTCCCCCAGGTCAAGAATGGCTTAAATGCTTTCCGTGAATAGGTTTTGCGTTTACAGAATTTAATTAAATCCCTAGCACGTCTAAGACAACTGGCTAGAATAACGAAAGATAAATGATAACAGAATTTATAAAGATGGAGCTTGCGACACATTCCTTGAATCTGCTATGCCCACTATCCTGAAGCCGACTGGCACTGGCATCCCTGCGACACCATGACTCTCTTGAGCCCCATCCTGGATCTGCACTATGCCCACTATGAGCCTGCTGGCATCCTGAACCCACTATGCCCACTATCCTTGAGCCCACTGTGCCTGGCATCCCTGAACCCACTATGCCCACTATCCTTGAGCCCACTGTGCCTGGCATCCCTGAACCCACTATGCGTACTATCCTTGATCCCACTATGCCTGGCATCCCTGAACCCACCATGCGTACTATCCTTGGGCCCACTATGCCCAGCTATTTCTAAGCTGAATTCCCAAAGCAAGCCGATCCACTTCACTGAGAATCCTCTGCTTATCGCCTGCAAGGCACATGGCGTAAGGGAGCGGGGGTGGGGGCCTTTCACGGGCATCCCACACAACTTTCCACAAAAATGACTTCTTTTGGTCTGAAGTGCTGACATGGGTACAGTAAATGCTCAGGTATCTTGTGCAACTACTGCATTTGAAACTTCGACACCCGGAAATCAGACAACGTGCTAATGAGTACAAAACAATACTCCGTGTAAACTGCCTGGAGGACATAGGCATGTCAATCGTCTGTCCCAGTGAACTGTTCTCTCGATCAGGAACCGCTCCCAGTCGTAAGCTAAATACAACTGTAGCATTGCTTGATAGAAAGTCGGCATTGTCGTGCCCTATGTAAAAGGTCATAGTGCTTCCAGACAAGGAAGAAAACCTGACCCGTTGGTGGCACGGCATTGTGGGACAATAGACGGTTTTTTCGCGTTGGCGGTTAAAGTGAAGAAAAGTAATCCCATACTTAGCACCACTTAGTGAAAAGATCGGCTGCAAAACTATTCAAATAAATGTTCTTGCGAGGCTGCTAGAAATTCATTATTTAAAACAAAAATCTGATCGCGGTATGTTGTCGGAACTAGCCTATATTCGTTATGCACTGACGCAAGACAAGATCTGGCTGGGACCTGTTTGGGTACCAACTTTCGCACGCGGCAAGACCAGAATTTCCTGAAACAAGCTCAGCTCCAGCATTAAAAGCGCGGATGCAACTTCAGTGCTACTTCAGTGTGCCTACTTCAGACCGCCTGTGTGCCGCGTATCATTATCGTGGTATCGAATTTTACATATATGCACTTCGCACTTTGTCACGGCTGTGTTCAATTTTGCCGAATGTGATAGACCTACACATAGTGTTTAGAGGATGTGTGTTTGATCTAAAGAACATCTAAAAAACGAGCAGTTTGTCAGTTTATCCTACTCTAAAAGGGCGGCGTATCACGGAGCACCGTCGGCATGACGTGCATCAGTGTCTTCAAAAAGATGAGAAATTAAGCTGTGCAGGTCTTGTTAAAAATGTTAGCCATTGTTTGAACAGTCATTTTTAAAAGATGTTAGCCATGTTTGTACTGTCATGTTAAAAATGTTAGTCATGTTTTTACAGTCATGTAAAAAACCATGTTAGTACAGCTGGCCATGCAAAGCTCCCTGATCACTGCAGCTTGCTTTGTCGGATTAATTTATAAAACCTTTGTCGCAAGAGCAGTGATCGCCAGGAGCGTCATGGCTGCATCTTGGCTGTTTTGACATATGCCATCTGTGGCTGTCTGCAGCTCCGTTAACGACAGGAACTGAGTCACGCGGTTCCATCAGACGTTCAAGGGTGTTCCGCAGATCAGTATGCCTGCCGCACGTATACTGGAGGGAAGAAAGACCAGAAAAACCGGGGCTCTAGCCGTGGGTTATGAATGTGACGAGTTCGAACGCATCCGAGGGGGCGGAGAAGGGTCATGCCACGAATATGGGTAAACGTAATGATTTAATCGGTGTGGTGGTAGCCGTTGTAGCCAATTTCGATGATATGGACTGTAGATGGAACGCAAACTGTTTCTTTAATGCAAGCCTGGCAGTGAGCATATTGAATGTAAAGACGAAGACGTGGCCAAGAGAGGCACGGCTTAGCCACATGCATCAAGGTTCGTATCCTCATATATATCCAGGCCATTTATGACATGGATAAAACAAGACAACTCAACATTTTTTTTTTTGAAGACCCGTACGACGAAATCCGACAGTGACACCAGCTGCACTTTTACGCGCTCCGAACTATCGTATTGGTACCATTTATGTCACGAACACGTTCAAGTAGACCGATCGCACTTTCTGGCTTGGAATGATTTTTGATTTCTTACTTGGACCGACAGCAAGTAAACTTTTGTAAAATGTTTCAAGCATTGCTGCATTAAGCCTCTGTGGAGACACTATTGCCTTGGCTGCAATAGTGACCTTTGAGGCCACGAAGAAAAGTGCAAACATCGTCATTTGTCCTTATCCTCTCTTCCGTCATGCCCCTCTAATTTTACATTTATACATGTCTCTTGAGTTTGCTCCATCCCTTTTTTCCGAAATCCTGTCCCCGTTCCCGCCTCCTGTCATCGCAATGGACCCACAACACTGATACCTGTCACTGTTGTTCACGCATGAGTCCAATCGCTGGAGTTTCTACAAAGTGCATCGGCCGGAGACTGCGACGCAGTTGGACACTACCGGCGAGTGCGGCGACGCACAGCACGGTAGCGGAGCAGCTAGCGACGGCGACAGCGGCAGGAGCCGGCGGGGTACAGGATCTGCAGGTTCTCTACCGTCCGTTGTTTTAGCGAGATGCATTTCGCTGCATGGAGACAGACAGGAGACGCAGCAGCAGAGACGAGAAGCCGACGACATACCAACAATTGCTTAATGTTAAGAATATACAACAGACAGACCGTATTCCGGACTGTAATCCAGCGCGAAACTTGGTGATTCGACCGCACCGACAGCTATCAGTTCGAGAACTGCCTGGCTTAGAACGCTCACTCTGGAGCTGTATTGACTGCTGGAACGAGGAGCTCTCTCTCTCTCTCTCTCTCTCTCTCTCTCTCTCTCTCTCTCTCTCTCTCTCTCTCTCTCTCTCTCTCTCTCTCTCTCTCTCTCTCTCTCTCTCTCTCTCTCTCTCTCTCTCTCTCTCTCTCTCTCTCTCGCGATCTCATTTCAGAAACATAATGTCATGGGTCATTGGACACCCCTTACGGCGGTTGTTGGCTTACAAATCGTGGCCACAAACACTCACGATGCAACCGATCAGCAGTACTTTCGCAGTTCCCCCCCCCCCCCCCCCCCCCTCCCCCGCCTCTCCATTCTTCCGGCGACAGATACCCGTTTCCTGGGGATGAGCTGCCCCCCCCCCCTCTCCGGCGCCCACCCACGGCAGGCACGTGCCCAAGGCCGGCCTAGGTTTTATAGAGTGGGCCCGGCCGACCGGCGGTGTTCAGTCCCGGCCGGAAACGGAAGCAGCCAACATGGTGAGTGACTGCGCGTGCCGCCGGGTGCCGGCACACTCGGGCTGCCGTCGGGTGCAGCGATGGGCTGCCGGGTGCAGCGATGGACCGCCGAGTGCTGTGGGGTACCCCTCGAGTGCCGCCGGGGTGCAGCCTGTGACGCCGGGGTGCCAGTGCGCTTCACGTGGAGGTGGTTTTGTGATTTCCGTCGAGCTTGCACAGGAAGCATCCTTTCTAAGCTATTTGACGATTCATCAGTATTGTCAGGCTTGCCCAAATGCGCTTCCTCCTAGTATATGCTAATTTGTGTGTTTTTAGATGTATATTTGTGCCAGTTCAGTTTACGTTTCACTTTTGATATTACTTGTAGCGCAGTTCTGATATTATTCGGGTCATAATGCTTAAGCTGTAAATTTTCTCCACTTGAATCCAAGATTTTCCCTATCAGTGATACATTCCCTCTTAAAAGATTAAATATATAAAATAAAATGCTGACGTTGACTGACACAATTTGGAAGCGTTACTATTCTGTTATGCCTGCCCCCTCACCCTGCATCCGACTCGATGTTTTAGTGGTATGCCTAACCCTGGTCTTAAAAGCCAGAAAGCCTCATGCTTTTCTTCGGAATAACTCCTGAACAATTTTTGGTGCAGTGCTGAAATACTGGGCATATTTGTACACAATTTTACGCATATTGTGACGTGTCGCAAATCTGACGTTTCTAGCGTCAAAAGCTCATGATCTACGACCTATTTCCCGACGTCATATCCGTAACATTTTGCTCAAAAGTGGCTAACAACGCCTATTTCTTACAAGTGGTGCACTATAGAGGTTCTTTGCACAATTTTTTCTTATACCTACAATTTTGAATTTGATTGTCGTCGTTCTGGTAGCTTTTGCAAGGCCAGGTAGTTCAAGATCAAGTAGCAAGCTTGTTCAAACTGACATTTTTGGCCAGATTGCCGCTTTAAAGTTCAAAGTCATAATGGCATACTGCACTTATCTTACAGCTTTGAAAGGCCTTTCTAACTCTGTTTGCTCGACTGGTGCTTTTTTGCTGTTGATATAGACGGTGGGGCCGGGGATGATGGTGAGTTCCACCTCTGAGGGCATTCAGAAAAAAGCAACATGATATGAACAGAGCAGGCTGGGCCAGTGTTCAGAGTTAATGTAAGCCATTTCTTAAAGTACTGGAAATATCAGCACTTCGCAAACACTACATTGTTAAGGATGTGAGGAAAGGGCGTAGCACAATGCAGCAACGTATGCTGGACATGGTCACCTTAGTTACTCTATCAAAAAACAAATGCTGAAAATATCATAGTCTTACGAAAAGGAAAATTCATACCGTCTGCGTCATACTGCACATGACGTCACACTAAACCAATCACAGACAAGCATCGGTTGTGGGTACCATAGGCCATTGGCTGTTGGAAGCATCGTCATGCAGTATCACGTGGCGTTGATATCTATTTCTGCCTGATCTGGTGTGAGGTTATCCGATAGAGAAAATGCGTTGGAGTACGGTAATTAAGCTGTTTAAGGCCGGTCAGGTCGTACAAAACTTAATATTGCCAACAACCTGGGCAATGCGATGGTAGCGTGCACTTCTTGGCGTACTTCGGTATGTTAGTTCGAAAGGCAATGCAAAGTTGAAACAGTTAATTTAACAAGGGCGCTAGGATCTCTCTTTGCTGCACAATCCGGCTGCGCCGGTGAAATAATCCCAAAAATCATGCTAGTCTTCCCACACAAAACCTTATGTAAGCTGAGCAACGTATGTTACCAGACAGCCAACTACTAAATGACTGAACGCTTAAACGCTGTGCAGTGACATGCCAATTGATTGTTCGGACTATGTGATCTACCTTAGGCATAAGAATGCGCAACCCATTTCACGGAAGCGGCATATATGTATTTTACCGCTGTCTGCAACATGGGATGACAGAGCATGAAAAGGCAAACGCTTCTTGTGTGACCGGGGATCAACACCAGTTTCCAGAACCGTCGCGTTACCCGCCGGCCAAAAAAATGAGCAATGGTGGATTATTGAAATATGGTAGCTCGATGTCATGGAAGCTCTATACGAATATTAGCCCATACAGACTCTCGTGAATTTATTGTGCTATCAAGTTTGTGACAACACTTTTTTCTCAAAAATTTGGGAGCCCTAAAAAAGAGATGCGTCACGCATGTTCATCACATACAGCAGGCATACTGAAAGGGCGCGTTAACACCAACACCCGGGCACCCGTCAGGTACTCAACAAAAATTTAGCTGCGGTAGCCGTCCTTCCGGTGGCGCCCGTCGAATGAGTGCTCCTACACCCCCCCCCCCCCCCTCCCTCCCACTGGCACCCACGGGCACCCACCAGGTCACGCACATTATCCCGCAAAGTCTTGAGGACGGGCTCGATACCCACTGAAGTCTCCCGTTGAGACCTGTGCTTCTTCTGGACCCGCCGCTGATTTTGCTTGCGTCACTCGGGCGCTCGAGTGATCTCTGCTCGGCTGATTGTTCCACGGTGGACGCCACCGCTGTTATGCTGAGCACTGGGGAATGCAGGACTTGCAAAATTCTACGACGGCTAAGCGCATTTCATTGATGTGAACAAGGAGGTCTCAGATTTCACCGCTGTGGAGAGGATGAATGCCGTTTCAACATAATTTATCTTGCCAGACGCCATTTGTGTCTCCTAGCCGCAGGACGCTGCAGGTGATTCTGTCTGTGTGTGCCTTGTGTCTTGTGTGAAAAAACAGTGTCTCGCACACTGCCCACAATACCAAGGCAGTTACACATATGACATAAATGCTGTCTAATTTCCAACTAATAATCGGTATTTATTATATTCATATCAGTAAGATAATCGGCAAATTACCAAACAAGACGGGTTTCGGCGGTCCAAGCTTGCTCCCGACACCCGACGTCTGGGTGGGATGGTCTGAATATTCTGGTAGAATATTCAGAATATGGTCTGGTAGAATAAGACCATAATCTGGTAGAATATTCTGAATATTCTGGTAGACCAGACCATATTCTATGGTCAGAATATGGTCTGGTAGAATAGCCGCGACTGGTGAATATATATATATATATATATATATATATATATATATATATATATATATATGTACAGTCAGGTTGCAGAGCTGGTCATATGGTTTTTGAAGAGCTGGTAAATTACGATGGAGGGGTTATACGTCGGTCTTGAAGAGATTGCGGCAGCTGAAATATTACTATGGTGTTGCATATTCATAGATTTGTGATTCACTGTTTTGCTTCATAAGGTATCCTTCTTTTGGCCATTTTTTTTTAGATCAAGCACTGGCAGGGGAGTGCCGATATTTCACTAGCTAATGATGTGTTTTGGAGTTGAAAATACTTTCAAATCGTAAATGGACGTGTTCTGAAGTCTCTGTCTAGGAAAAGAAACGTCAGAACACTTGTTGACAGATTCGAAGCCTATGCGCTGGAATATCGCTCACCGGATCTGTCAGATAATGGACCTTACACGCCAATCTGCGTTATATAGCTGTGACGTATATAATTTTGTATGTTGTTGAAGAAGCAGTGCCAAAAAGTTAAAACTTTATAAGCTATGCCCTGATTGTGGGCTGGTTGCCAAGACGGCAAAACTGCTAAGACATCCATGATACAAGATCGATAGCAGCTGATTTAAAATGACATTGACTATCTATGATTAGAAGCATTAAAATACAATGCCTCATTCGATGGCCAAAGCAAACCTTTTCATCCGAAACATGTCACGTTTATTACATATAATTTCCACTGCCGCTTTGGACAGATTACCGACACCGAACCGTCATCAGGATCGACTGATGGTTCGATAATGTGATGACGATACGCAGCTGGCGCATTTGAGCTCGCGGCGCCCGGCACAATGGCCCCCTCCGCGTGCTCTGTTGTAACGGAGCTCGCCCGAAGAGTCGGGTCGTGTAAGTAGGTTAAGTGCGGCGGGAAGCGAGGTGTTGGCCGCGCGCCGCCGCCGTCGGCCGCCGGCCCCCCTCAGCGTGCCCCGTCGTATATCACCGGACCGGGGTCCTTCGACCTCCACGGAGAGCCCGCGGCGATTTAGGCAAGTGACGCGTGATGAGTGTGGGTGACTGCTCGACTCAGCGGGTCTGTATGAGTCTATTAGTGAGATGAGGGATTCAAGGAAAGACGGGTGATTTAGTGTGACCGATGGGCTGGACTGCGGAGCTGTTTCAGCACGACTTTTTCAGCTGTCGTGTTGTGTTGGGCCTACAAAGGACAAAGCTTTGTTTTGTAAAAGATTTTGTCTCGCGGTTGTCGCATATTTATTAAAATTTCGGCCATGGGAAATTTTAATTGTTTTAAAATTTTTTTAAAAAAACAGATAACAGATAAAACTTCTGCTGCCGAAACAGATAAAACTTCTGCTGAATCCGATAACACCAGATCCGTGTTGTACACAACTGAAGAGCGGATGTTAAGAGTAACGCCAATGAATTATGGGTTATGTATGGCTAATGAAATAAACAGCAGCTTCTTGAAATGCTATAAAATGAGAAAGTAAAATAAAAAACTGCAGTCTTTTGAATTGCTTTGGGCTCATAAATTTGATTACAAAGTTTTCTCCTGCTACTGGTGCGCATTTACGTCCAGACGCACACAACGTTAAAAGTGCGGAACTAGCCCCCCTCGATTGGTAGGCCAAGACAAAAGTGTGCGCCAGACCCATGTGCTCCTTTACATTCCACTTCGACTGGCGCTTGTACCTACTGTGCTCCCAACCCATAGATAAATCACTTCGGCGCAAGTTATGCGACCGACACAGAAACCACTAACCGACCGAACCTTGAAATTGGCTGATCACCATAAACATAAAGCCTCGCCCCAAACACCGGAACTGTCTCGCCAATCGACGTCGCATGCCTAAGTAACCATGGCGACCGCCTTGCGAAATTGCCTGCTCCAGTTCCCCGGTCGGACCAATCACGGTCAAGGAAACGTGTCCGCAAATATTGCCCGGCGTAAGACG